GGAGAGAACCCCCACACACACCCTGCACCACACCGCCAGGTCCACAGGGCTTCCACTCCACCAGGGAGGCGAATCGACTGCACATGCACCACCACACCACCACGGTACTCTTGGCAGACATCACTAATCCATAGCAGTGCTCTTTTCCACTGAACTTGGACTAGGCCTCAGGATCCTTGTCAACCCAACACTCAGGTAGGACTACCAAATAATTAAGAGTTGACAGGCAAAATAAAAACTTCTCTGCCACCTACTCACCAGACCACATAGCAGTCAACCTGAATTTAGAGATTATAAATTTATGAGCCAAGCTGACTACATAACTCTGTCTAGAAATGCCCGTAGCTGAGAAACAGACGTAGAGAAACCAGACACTGCAATGATCTCTGTCAGCGCAGTCCAAGTGGAAGGGAAACATGATCCAGGCACAGCTGAGGTGTAACGCCTCCACACACTTCTCAGTTCGTCGCACTGTGGGGGCGTGCGTGTTGCTGTGATGCTAGATGCTAGAAATACCAGCAGGGTCACCTGTGGTAGACAGGTTTCAGCTGAGCTTCCAGATTAAGACAGACTAGGAAGAAGGACATGGTTCTACTTCTGAAAAAAATTAGCCAGTGCAAACCTTATCAACAGCAGCGGAACACTGTCTGATATAGCGCCTGAAGATGAGCCCCTCAGGGTGGAAGGCACTCAGACTACGACTGGGGAAGAGCTGCTTCCACAAAGTAGAGTCGACCTTAAGGACCTGATGGAGTCAAGCTTCCAGGACCTTCATTTCCTGATGTGGCACAACTCAAAATGGGAAGAAACAGCTGCAAACATCCATTAAAAATCAGAACATGGAATGTACGAAGTATGAACCTAGAAAAACTGGAAATCATCAAAACTTAAATGGAACGCATAAACATCGATATCCTAGGCATTAGTGAGCTGAAATGGACTGGTATTGGCCATTTCGAATCAGACGATCATATGGTCTACTATGCTGGGAATCACAAATTGAAGAGGAATGGCATCATATTCATTGTTAAAAAGACCATTTCAAGCTCTCCTGAAGTACAATGCTGTCACTGATAGAATAATCTCCATATGCCTACAGGGAAGATCAGGTAATACAACTATTATTCAAATTTACACACCAACAACTAAAGCCAAAGATGAAGAAGTTGAAGATTTCTACCAGCTTCTGCAGTCTGAAATTGATCGAACATGCAATCAGGATGCATTGATAATTTCTAGTGATTGAAATGCGAAAGTTAGAAACAAAGAAGAAGGATCCATAGTTGGAAAATATGGCCTTGGTGATAGAAATAATGCCGGAGATCGCATGATAGAATTTTACAAGACCAACGACTTCTTCATTGCAAAAATCTTTTTACAACAACATAAACAGCAACTATACACATGGACCTCGCCTGATGGAATACACAGGAATCAAATCAACTACATCCGTGGAAAGGGAAAAGCTCAGTATCATCAGTCAGAACAAGGCCAGGGGCTGACTGCAGAACAGACCATCGATTGCTCATATGCAAGTTCAAGCTGAAGCTGAAGAAAATTAGAACAAGCCCACGAGCGCCAAAGTACAACCCTGAGTATATCCCACCTGAATTCAGAGACCATCTCAAGAACAGATTTGATGTATTGAACACTAATGACCGAAAACCAGACAAGTTATGGAACGACATCAAGGACATCATACATGAAGAAAGCAAAAGGTCATCAAAATGACAAGAAAAGAAGGAAATACCAAAATAGATGTCAGAAGAGACTCTGAAAGTACTATTAAACATTGAGTAGCTAAAGCTAAAGGAAGAAATGATGAAGTTCAAGAGCTGAACAGAAGATTTCAAAGGGCAGCTCAAGAAGACAAAGTAAAGTATTATAATGAAATGTACAAAGACTTGGAATTAGAAACCAAAAGGGAAGAACACACTCAGCATTTCTTAAGCTGAAAGAACTGAACTAAAAATTCAAGCCTCGAGCCACAATATGGAAGGATTCTACAGGCAAAATACTGAACACAGGAAGCATCAAAAGGAGATGGAAGGAATACACAGTCACTATACCAAAAAGAATTGGTCGATGTTCAACCATTTCAGGAGGTAGCATATGATCCACAACCAATGGTACTGAAGGAAGAAGTCCAAGCTGCACTGAAGACATTGGGGAGAAACAAAGCTCCAGGAATTGACAGAATACCAATTGAAATGTTTCAACAAATGGATGCAGCGCTGGAAGTCCTCACTTATCTATGCCAAGAAATCTGGGAGATAGCTACCTGCCCAACCGACTGGAAGAGATCTATATTTATGCCTATTCCCAAGAAAGGTGATTCAACCAAATGCAGAAATTATCAAACAATATCATTAATATCACATGCAAGTAAAATTTTGCTCAAGATCATTCAAAGGCATTTGCAGCAGTACATAGAAGGGGAGCTGCCAGAAATTGAGGCTGAATTCAGAAGAGGACATGGAATAAGAGATGATATTGCTGATGTCAGATGGATCCTGGCTGTCATGGATTGAGCTGTGTCCCCAAAAAATATCTGTCAGCTTGGCTGGGTCATGATTTCCAGTATTGTATGATTGTGTTATCTGATGTGATTTCCTTATGTGTCGTAAACTCTATCACTACGATGAGATTATACGTGATCTCCTTATGTGTTATAAATTCTATCACTGTGATGAGGTTATACTGATGAGGTTGACAAAATTAGTGTCTTAATACAATCTCTTTTGAGATATAAAAGAGAGAAGCGAGCAGAGACACATAGGAACCTCATACCACCAAGAAAGCAGTGCCAGGAGCACAGCGTGTCCTTTGGACCTGAGGTTCCTGCGCTGAGATGCTCCCAGACCAAGGAAAGACTGATGCATCACAAGGACCTTCCTCCGGAGTCGACAGAGAGAGCCTTCTTCTGGAGCTGATGCCCTGAGTATGGACTTGTAGCCTACTGGACTGTGAGAGAATAAACTTCTCCTCGTTAACACCATCCACTTGTAGTATTTCTGTTGGAACAGCACTAGATGACTAAGACACTGGCTAAAAGCAGAGAATACAGAAAGACGTTTACCTGTGTTTTATTGACTGTGCAAAGGCATTGCACTGGGTGGATCATAACCAGTTATGGATAACATTGAGAAGAACGGGAATTCCAGAACACTTAATTGTGCTTATGAGGAATCTGTACACAGGTCAAGAGGCAGTCATTCAAACAGAACAAGGAGATACTGTGTGGTTTCAAGTCAGGAAAGGTGTGTGTCAAGGTTGTATCCTTTCACCATACTTATTTAATCTGTATTCTGACCAAATAATCTGAGAAGCTGGACTATATGAAGAAGAACTGGAGGAAGACTCATTAACAACCTGTTATGCAGATGACACAACCTTGCTTGCTGAAAGTGAAGAGGACTTGGAGCACTTACTGATGAAGATCAAAGGCCACAGCCTTCAGCATGGATTACGCCTCAACATAAAGAAAACAAAAATCCTCACAACTGAACCAATAAGCAACGTCATGATAAACCGAGAAAAGACTGTATTGTCAAGGATTTCATTTTACTTGGATCCCAATCAATGCCCGTGGAAGCAGCAGTCAAGAAAGCAAACAACATACTGCACTGGGAAAATCTGCCACAAAAGACCTCTTTAAAGTGTTAAAAAGCAAAGATGTCACTTTAAGGACTAAAGTGCACCCGACCCAAAGCCATGGTGTTTTTAATCACATCATACACATGCAAAAGCTGCACGATGACTAAGGAAGACTGAAGAACTGACATCTTTGAATTCTGGTGTTGGTGAAAAATATTGAACGTATGACGGACTGCCAAAAGAACAAACAAATCTGTCTTGGAAGAAGTACAGCCAGAACGCTCCTTAGAGGCAAGGATGGCGAGATTTCGTCTCACGTAGTTTGGACATGTTATCAGGAGGGACCAGTCCCTGGAGAAGGACATCATGCTTGGTAAAGTCGACAGTCAGCAAAAAAAGAGGGAGACCCTCAACGAGATGTTGTGGCTACAGCAATGACTGAAGCATAACAAGGATTGTGAAGACGGCACAGGACCGGTCAGTGTCTCGTTCTGTTGTATGTAGGGTGGTTATGAGTCAGAATCGACTCAACAGCACCTAGAAACAACAAGGTGTAATGGGAGCCCTGGTGGTGCAAGGTCAGGAGCTTGGCTGCTTACCAAAAGGTCAGCAGTTCGAATCTACCAGCTGCTCCTTGGAAATCCTGTGGGGCAGTCTACTCCGCTGTATAGGGTCACTATAAGTCAGAATTGACTCTATGGCAAAGGGTTTTTTGAAGCGTAATGAGAAAAATAAGCTGAGTATTGTGGAAAGGTCTGCGATTCAAGGTGGCTGTGGAGGACAAACAAACTAGGAAAACGGGCAGAAATGGCTGGACTGATGTGGAATGAGAATTTAGGAGCTAGGAAATATAAGGAATAAATAAAGGAATTAGGTAAGATACAGGCTTGTTTAGGCAGAAGGAGTCCAATCCCAACATTCCTTCTCCAGCAGTCACACTTCGGTTGGGTGTTTAGAGTAAATGATGTGCAACAGGTAGACCCACTGAGGGAAGAGTAATTCAGGCCCCGTGTTCAGCTATGTCAGTTTAAGTCCCTACTTTATTTGGTGAGATCTAAGAAAAGCATACCCCAAAAAGATGACTAACAGAGTAATTTGTAAAAAATTGATACGGTTTACTTTGAGAGTCTCAGAGAAATAAAGCACAGAGATGAAAGAAAAGATCAATCCCATTTAAAAAGAAATACACTTACAAAATATTATGCTACATATTTCCAAGAAACAACAACCACCACCCAGAAACAGACACATTTAACATTCTGAAGAAATACAGAATTCCAGAGTTTCTAGGGTTATCACATTTTTGAGAAATTGATTTAAATATGGAATCTTATATAGTGATTTTTGTTTCCTGGTTATATAAAGTCTTATGAAATCTTACCCGTCTTTTACTAGATACTCACCTCTTTTTGACGACCCACAAACCGCATTTGCCTATAATCTTTCTCATCATAAACCTGAAAAAAAGAAAAAGACCATATGTTAATTTTACGGCTTAATTTGGAAAGAGATCACTTATTATCAATCGTAAATATACAGGACAATGTTTTTTCTTAACACTTATACCATTGATGATTAGTCAAACACACGAGGGACAAAGTATAGCTATGCAATCAGGAGTATTTTCAGCAAGCTACCTCTAATGATAAAATGCAGTAAACCGGATTGGAAGGAAGCAAGTCTGGGGTAGTGCTGGGAAATAATCTTGAGAAAGCTGGAGTGGAAGAGAAGAGAGACACATGCAAGCATAGGAGGACCACCCCCAGCCTTCTTTCACATCCGGTCACATAGCTTTCTTTTCCCCTCTAAATCTACTAGGTGACATTTTAGCAGTATAGGTACCTTACTTTCCCACCGCTTGGTTTACGGTTATAGTTTAACACTTTTTTTGGGTTACAGGCTACAAGAGACCCTCAAGTTATTAACATTTATTACTTAATACTGAACAAACATTAAAATATTGGATCTAAAAAAAATTAAATTGATAGTTATATTCCCAATGGTAAGCCACAGTAATCAGTTACCCATTGGATAAACCCCTCAACCCGGTTGCCCTCAAGTCGATTCTGACTCATAGGGACCGTACAGGACAGAGCAGAACCGCCCCATAGGGTTTCCAAGGAGCAGCTGGTAGATTGGAACTGCCGACCTTTTGGCTAGCAACCGAGCTCTTAACCACTGTGCCACCAGGGCTCCTACCCATAGGTTAACACAGTCTAAATTTTAGACTTCACGGAACGCCTGAAGATGAGAACACAATTACAAAAACGCCACTAACATCATAACATTCCCGTATATATGAAGGTGGAGCCTTTTCATTAACATTTGCCAAAGGCTGTCTCATTTATCTGTGTGTGTGTGTGCTGTGCATGCTAACAGGAGCACAGCTTAGCTATCATCTTAACAGGGAGAACTGCAAAGTAAAAGGTTAAGCCCCCTCTCCCCCTTTTCAAAACAGTCCTCTAGCGTTCATTCTTAGCTAACCCTGATCTTCTCTAACAAGGGCCGTGCTCGCTTCTGGACAAAAGGCCCTCTCCGGGGCCCCGAGGGACCAGTATCCCGGCCATGGCAGGGGCAGGAAAGAAGGGCAGCCTGGTCGGAGGGCAGAGAGCGACAGGGAAAGGCCAGGACTGGCGGCAGGAGGATCCGCCGGTGACCTGTAGAACCAGGGCATCTCTGCAGGCAGGGTCGGAGGCTGCTTTCTCCCGCCTGGGGTTGCGGTGTCCGCGGTGCCGGACGGGGCTGCACCGGATCCGGCACTCTACACGGAGAGGCATCGTTCGGCCTTCCACTATGACGGTTACCTGGCCAGTGTGCGTGATCTTCTCCCCAGTAGGCGAAGTCCGCACCCCGAAACACCTGGCGGCCTGGGGAAGGCTCAGCGCGGCCAGGCGACTGCGGCTCAGCAGCCGGCAAAAGGTCACTGCCGCCGCCATCTTTCGCGGCTGACCCCTGACCCGACGCACGCCGCAGCGCCAACGCATGCGCACAGCTTCTGTTGGGGCCAATAATCTCGGGACTTATTTCGCCCTGGGGCGGCCTACGCGGGGCGGGGCAGGAAGCTGCACACGTGCTGCGCGATCCGGCAAACGGCGGGCAAATGCAGCCCAGAGAAGGTGGGAAATAAGCACATAGTTTACTGTTAGTAGCTGCTCAGTGATTCTTATTTGGAGGACTGTAGGATAGGATGGAAGCTGACGATACATTTTTGTGTGTTCTTAAGATAATATTGGAAGTTTTAAATATCAAATGGTTGTATTAAGTAAATTCAGTTTGCCTGTGCATCATTTGCGTGTGTGGCTTCCTCGGTCTAGAGAGGAAGGAGGTAGCCTATTTCAGAGACTTCTGCAACACAGCCCTAATAAGGCTACAAGTAAAACAATTGATACTGTCCATCATGCAAATACAGAGTGTTCCGCTGCTATTCATAAGGTTTTCACCGGCTAAACCTTTTCAGAAGTAGACCGCCAGGTTCTTCTTCCTAGTCTGTGTTAGTCTGGAAGCTCAGCTGAAACCTGTCCGCCATGGGCGACCCTGCTGGTATCTGAGTACTGGTGGCATAGCTTCCAGCATCACAGCAACACACAAGCCCCCACAGTAGGACAAACTGACAAACACATGGGGGAAATTCAGGCCGGATTCAGAAGAGGATGTAGCACCAGGGATATCATTGCTGATGTCAGATGGATCTTGGCTGAAAGCAGACGATACCAGATAAGATGTTTACCTGCATTTTATTGACTATGCAAAGGCATTCGATTGTGTGGATCATAATAAATTATGGATAACATTGCGAAGAATGGGAATTCCAGAACACTTAATTGTGCTCATGAGGAACCTGTACACAGATCAAGAGGCAGTTGTTCAGACAGAACAAGGGGATACTGCGTGGTTTAAAGTCAGGAAAGGTGTGTGTCAGGGTTGCATCCTTTCATCATACCTATTCAATCTGTATGCTGAGTAAATAATCTGAGAAGTTGGACTATATGAAGAAAAACGGCATCAGGATTGGAAGAAGACTCATTAACAACCTGTGATATGCAGATGATACAACCTTGCTTGCTGAAAGTGAAGAGGACTTGAAGCACTTACTGGTGAAGATCAAAGACCACAGCCTTCAGTATGGATTCCACCTCAACATAAAGAAAACAAATCCTCACAACTGGACCAATAAGCAATATTATGATAAAGGGAGAAAAGATTGACATTGCCAGGATTTCATTTTACTTGGATCCACAATCAACACCCATGGAAGCAGCAGTCAGGAAATCAAAGGACGCATTGCATTGGGCAAGCCTGCTGCAAAAGACCTTTTTAAAGTGTTGAAAAGCAAAGATGTCACTTGAAGACTAAGGTGAGCCTGACCCAAGCCATGGTATTTTCAGTCGCATCGTACGCATGCGAAAGCTGGACGATGAATAAGGAAGACCGAAGAATTGACGCCTTTGAATTGTGGTGTTGGGGAAGAATATTGAATATACCACGGGCTGCCTAAAGAACGAACAAATCTGTCTTGGAAGAAGTACAACCAGAATGCTCCTTAGAAGCAAGGATGGCGAGACTGCGTCTTACATACTTTGGACATGCTGTTAAGAGGGATCAGTCCCTGGAGAAGGACATCATGCTTGGTAAAGTACGTGGTCAGTGAAAAAGAGGAAGACCCTCAATGAGACGGACTGACACAGTGGCTGCTACAGTGGGCTCAAGCATAAAGACAATTGTGAGCATGGCGCAGGACCGGGCAGCGTTTCGTTCTGTGGTGCACAGGGTCGCTATGGGTCAGAACCGACTTGATGAACGTAACAACAACAACATCGGGCAAATACCAGAACAACCAAGCTTGTTACGGCGGAGCAGATTCCAATTCGCAGAGACGCCCTTGGGGGGGAGTAGAACCGCTCCAAAGGGTTTTCTTGGCTGTCATATTTACGGAAGCAGCCAGCCAGGTCTTTCTTGCCAACCTTTAAGTTAGCATCCAATAAAAAACCTCTTTCACCACTGTTGTTAGTTGTCATTAAGTTGATTCTGACTCACGGTGACCCCGTGGGTGCAAACAGAACTGCTCCGTAGGGATTTCAAGGCTGTGGCTTTTCAGAAGGAGATGGCCAGAACAGACTGTTTTGTTGTCGTCGTTAGATGCGGTCGAGTCGGTTCCAACTCACAGGGACTCTATAGGACAGAGTACAACTGCCCTCTATGCTGTCTAAGGAGCAGCTGGTGGATTTGAACTGCTGACCTTTTGGTTAGCAGCCGAGTTCTTAACCACTGCACCACCCAATAAGTAAGGTAAAATCAAACCCAGTGCCAATTCTGACTTATAGTGACCCTTTATAGAGTTTCAAAGGCTGTAAATCTCTTTATGGGAGCAGACTGCCACATCTTTCTGTCTCAGAGCAGCTGGGGAGTTTGAACCATTGACCTTTTGGGTAGCAGCCAACAGCTTTAACTACTGCGCCACCAGTGCTCCTGAGCAAGGTTTAAAAAAAAAAAAAAAAACTCGTTGCTGTCAAGTCGATCCTATAGGACAGAGAAAAATCGCCCGGTAGGGTTTCTAAGAAGTAGCTGGTGGATTCAAACTGCTGACCTTTTGGTTAACAGCCAAGTTCTTAACCTCTGCGCCACCAAGGCTCCAAGTAAGGTAAAGCTCGTGCTTATTTAGGGCATCAATAAAACAGGCGCACCAGTTGTCCAAAGCAAAAACCTATAGATGCCAAGCAGACAGGACACAAGGAAAAGCGAGCGCACAACAATGATTCAAGACTCGATCCATTATCCTTATTATGTATGGAAGCAGATATTGTTTGCAGCTTAATTGTGACAAAATCATTGCAGAATTTGTGACAGCAAAACATATAAAGAAAGGTTTTTAATTATAACATGTTAGAGATGAAAGATCTAAAAATATAATTTGTTATAATTTGTTTTCTGATCATTAAATTTTTTATGACATTTCATTTGTTCATTTATAATTATTGCATTTATTACAAAATAAGCATCAAAATTGAAGTATGAACCATATAAAGCAAAATTGGTGAAAGTCAATTTTTCGTTGTGGGAGATGAACAGAATTTTACATTGTTCAAACAACTAAGTTCACTGACTCATTTTCTTTGCTGTAGAATATGTGGAATATTCATTTTGTAGAAAGCATGGTATACAGTAAAAATCTGAGTACCCCACATCCACTAAAAATTTTATAATCCAGTTTATCTCATTCCACTAAAGTGTTACACGCTACTTTTATGTTCAATCACTTATAGTCACATTAAAAAAAAAAAAAGTTACTTCATGGAGAGCTGAGACACAAACACACAAAAACAAGCCAAAACCGTCACTGTTGAGTAGATGCGGACTCATAGCAACCCTACAGGACAGAGTAGAACTGCTCCATAGGGTTTCCAAGGAGTGACTGGTGGTTTCAAACTGCTGACCTCTTGGTTAGCCGCTGAACTCTTAACCACTGGTGCCACACACACACCTATATACATGTATATATCTAACTCACATATCACGGTCCAATGTGTGAGTAAGCAGAAGAGGGGGCACCACAGATTATCAGTGTCTAGGGCCCTCACATGCCTTAATCTCAGCTCGCAGTTGCTGACTAAAAGGTTGTAGGTTCAAGTCCACTCACAGGCACCTGAGAAGAAAGCCCTAGCTATCTAGTTCCAAAATATTAGCCACTGAAAACTCTATGGAGCACAGTTCTACTCTGACACACATGGAGTCTCCACATGGAGTCTCAGAATCAACACAACAGCAACTGATGTCATGTGTGTCAAACTGAGCAGATCTGGGTATGACTCCCAGCTTATAAGCCTGGGCAGAAGGAGCACTGGTGGCACAATGATTAAGCACTTGGCTACTAACTGAAAGGCTGGTGGTTCGAACCCACCCAGTGGCTCCACAGGAGAAAGACCTAGCAATCTGCTTCCATAAAGATCACAGCCTAGAAAACCCTATGGGGCAGTTCTACTCTGTCATCTGGGGTCAGTATGATGGCACACAAAAACAACAAAAAGCCTGGGCAGGCTCCTTTGCTTTTAGGTTTCATTGCCCTCCCTTGTAAACTAGATATGCTGAAGCTTTCCTCATACACCTGTTGGGAGGATTAAAATGATACAGGGCAGGATCATAGAAGGCTCAGCAAACAGTGCAAGGTCCATCAGCGCAGGGAGAAACTGTCCAGGCGAGGCCCCTGGGCGGTACAAGGACAGCCTGGACTCAGAGCGGCGCTGATGTGGGAATTGCAGTACCCTCACCTGGGGCGGTGTGCCAATCCTCTGAAGTTTCCCTGGGGAGCTTGCCCAGGACACAGAGCACCTGGCCAGCATATCAGGACTATGCACTCCTGCATCTCCATTGTCCTTAGCTATGGTCCAAGCCTGACAATCCAGGTGACTCTGAGAACACCACACTGGGAGATGGGAGGTCAGGGAGATGAGACAGAAGCAAGGGGGAAAGATTACAAGACAGAAAAAATGCACATAAAAGCTTCCTGAAAGCTGAAAGTTGCCTTGACAATGTGGTGGTGGGAGACAAGTTTGTCTTGAAGTTGACAAAGGCCACGATATTCACCTGTTCGTGTGCAAAAGCCCTTAGTTAACAACATACACGCTGAAATATTGGGGGAAGGGCATTCGACTTACCATGATACACATAAAAATGTCGTTGTTGTTGCTAGGTGCCATTGAGGCAGTTCCAACTCATAGTGACCCCGTGTACAACAGAACAAAACACTGCCTGGTCCTGCGCCACCCTCACAGTCGTTGCTGTGTTTGAGCCCGTTCTTGCAGCCACTGTGTCAACCCATCTAGCTGAGGGTCTTCCTCTTTTTCGCTGACCCTCTTTTTTTTACACATAAAAATAAGATCCCTGAAAAATCTAGTGTAAGCAAGTTAATTGGAGAACAGAGGTAAGTGGTGTGTATCTAGGTGTTCACGGTTAAAGTTCCTTCAACTTTTCTGTATGTTCGAAAATGTTCACAATAAGACGTTGGCAGAGGAAAAAAAAGATTTTAACTGCAGCCAGTTAGGATCGTAGTCTATTTCCGTTTGTTTCCCTGGCCTCCTCCCATTTCTCCCAGGATATCAAGTCAGTAAAATGATGTGGTTTTTTTCTTTTTTTTTGAAATTGGCATTTGTCAATTTAAAAAAAATTTCTAATTGGTAGTGATGTCTTTAGCAGCCCTGGTGGTGCAATGGTTAAGTGCTCAGCTGCTAACCAGTAAAAAGACCTGGCGATCTGCTCCTGTTAAGATTAAACCCGCTGTCATGGAGTTGACTCCGACACATAGGGACCCTGTAGGACACAGCGGAATTGCTCCATAGGGTTTCCAAGGCTGTAATCTTTACAGAAGCCAACTGCCACATCTTCCTCCTGCAGAGCAGCTGGTGGATTTCAACCGTCAATCTTCAGATTAGCAGCCTAGTGATTAACCACGGTGCCACCAGGGCACCTTCCCGGGAAGATCACAGCCTAGGAAACCTTATGGGGCAGTTCTACTCCGTCACATGGGGTCGCTATGAGTCGGAATTGACTCGACAGCACCTAACAACAACAGTGATGTCCTTTCTCTTTTTAAGTATCCGTATTCACGCCCATTTTTGCATGTTTTCCATAGAACAATCCCCCAAACTGCCAGGGCAGGGGGCGTTCTGGGCAGGGGGCGCCAGGGAATAGGTGCAGGAGCCCCACGAGGGGGAAGGCGGCCCGCAAACGGACGGCCAGGCGCCCCTCTGGCTGTCTTCTGGTGACAGAGCGGGGCCCTAGGGAGAAGAGACGCCCAACCCCCGGCCCAGCACTCCTCTCTCTTGACCCCGGGGTCGCCGGAGCGTGGGCATACCACGTGACCCACGGCCATCTTTTTTCCTGGCGGGGATTTCTGGCGGCGCGTCATCCCCCGCATTGCGCAGGCGCAGGCGAGGGCGCGCCGCTGGCTGGAGTTAGGCGCCTTTTTTTGAGGTAGGGGGTCTTGGCTGTAGTTACGGAGCTGGGGAGCGTGGGGCCGGGGAGTCGGCGGTGGGGCGCGCTGTCCTGAGTCGCCCCCGGAGCAACCCGCCAGGCCGAGGCTGCAGGAGGGCAAGGTCGGCTGCTCGGGGCGCCCTTGGGCCTCAGTTTCCCCGGGTGGGCCGCCCCCGCATCCCGGCGGCGACCGGATGAGCAGTAGGTAAGGGGGTTTGTGCCCTCGGAAGGTCGGCGGATCGGGACGGCCTGGACCACGGGCTGGAAGCCAGCGCCTCTTCTGCGCCTCGCTGAGTGGGACGGGACCCTTCCGGACCCCTGCGGGTCGGAACTACATCACCCATAATGGGGGGGCCTGTCTGCTCCGACTGCCCCGGGTTGGAGTGGGGTCCGCGGACATTTGAACCGAGTACACGAAAGTCTCAGCAAGTGTTACCTTTCACCCGTCCCTCCCCACGGCTTTGGGCAACACAGCACATGACCAAACCTGCATATTGCAAGTAACTCCATAAAGCAAATGGGTAGTTAGACTGTAAAATACTAGTTAACTTCCCTCCACTACCCTACGTTTAGAGGGTGGGGTCTGCTTTAGTGTTTTCTTGTCTGCTGATTGAGTAGCTTACTCGGGATCCTAATTTACCTTTTATCATCAAAGACATGTCAGCTTTGCCCATAGTCTGTCCTTTCATTAAACCTAAAAGGGATCAGGGTTCATGGGGAGGCAGGATAAGTGGTACTTGCCAAGGGTGGATGATCTCCTGTGAGTGTACTGATTCCCAGATATACTTAATGTGGCTTGCTATCACATGCTGCTACATGGACACATGCTTTGTTCGTTCTCAGAATTGGCCCTGGCCCAGGACACTTGGATTTAACCTTGATGCCAATTCTCTACAGGACAAGGGCGAGTCATTTAGCCCCTGCTCGCCTGGAATAGTTATTTTGAAATGGGGGATGTGGCCTAAGTTTAAGGTTCTCACCAGCCAGGTGTGTCTTTTATAAACCTCCTAGTGTTTTACGTATTCATTTACACTTCTACAAACGGGAAAGGATCCTAAATTATTGCAAAGGGCTCTATGCATTCTTTCCTATTCTTATGGTAGGGTAGACTGACCGTTTAATTTGGAGCTTCAGGAGAATGAGTACTCAGCTGGTAAAGGAAAGCTTGGACCTAAACTCACCGCTCTGTGACCTCCACAGCCCTCCTCTTCCTAAGCCATAGCAAAATAGGAAGAATGAAGTTGTAAATATAGGCAGAAGTATAGAAGAGTTTATAACAGCTTTTTTCCTTTCCCCCCATAGGTTTAGCCGCAATATGGCAACTCGTTTGATAAGGACAGTGGCGGTTTCTGTCGTGCACCCTCTCCTCCAGCTGAGTCACCACACAGTGAAATCCCGAGGACTATCCACATTGCTGCTAGGATCCCTTCGCAGCGCCCTTCCAGTTGGGACGAGTCTCCTGAAGCCCAGCTCAGTGGTGGAGTCACTTCTTTCAAACCGTCTCATGCCATGTCTGCAGCCTGCTCTGGGGTTCAAAACCAAGGGCGTCATCAAGAAGCGCTGCAAGGACTGTTACCGGGTGAAGAGACGAGGCCGGTGGTTCATCTATTGTAAAACAAACCCAAAGCACAAGCAAAGACAGATGTAGTCCCTTCGGCTTGAAAAGGCTGTGCAAAGTTATTTTTATTTCCTTGGGAAATTAAAAATAAAATTTCCTTGGGAAAATGAGTTTACCTTGTCAGGAGGAAAATAAAATTTAAACGTCCTGTAGTCTAAGATTTGTTGACCTTCAGAGTTTGTTGACTGCACTCCCCAGGTGTCTCATCTCTTTATATCAGTCCCAATCCTATCAAGCCAGAGCCCCAGATGGGAAACAACTCGTTTTTATCTTTCTTCCGTGCAAGCTGCGTTTGTACTTGGACTGGAGGCTGGAGAACGTATGGAGGGAAAGCCAGTTTTAGCCCACAAGGTTAGAATGCAGGTCTGAAAGGTCACTCCCAGCCCTGCCTTGGTAGTCAAAGATATGGCTGCTTTTTACGTGGATTCAAGCTGGTCTCCACATTTCTGTCTTTTGAGGATAAGGATGAAGGGCCTTGATGGCCATCTTCAACTCAAGGCAAGTTTAATTTGTATGTAAGAGTATATTGGGTATCAAATATGTCATCTTTGGTCTGAGACCCCAGAGTACTAACGCTTTTACACAGCAAGTTGGTGTTTATCAGACCCTGGTAGTGGATTTTCTATACCAAAAGGATGAATAGCAAAATAATGCACTGGCCGTTTTGCAAAATAACCCACAGGATCTCTGAAGAAAGTGTTACACATTCCAGCGTTTGGGGAAATACTGCCATTTGTCAACGATGAAAAGCCATAATCTAGTTATTTGTTCTCTTTGAAAACAGTTTCTCCTGTGACCGCATGTTTCTGCAGCCTGGTAAGGAGGTGAATCTGCGTAAATCCAGTGAACTTTATGTTCAGCCTGGCACGCTTCCTGGGCTGCGAGCCATTCTAAACTACAGTGCAGTAGCCTGGCTTCAAGTTACACCAGCACAGATAGCACCGGATGTTTCTCCCTTGAAAGCAATATTGTTCATAGAGACCTAGGCCAGAATACCCTTTTCTTGAAAGTTGTGAATATAGGGATGCTCTCAGGTTAAGAGCTCGGCTGCTAACCAAAAGGTGGGCAGTTTGAATCCACCAGCCGCTCATTGGAAAACCTATGGGGCATTTCTACTCTGTCCTGTAGGTTTGCTATGAGTGGGAATCGATGGCAACGGGTTTGGTTTTTGGTTTGGTTCTCACATTGGCGATGATGGTAAATGATTGAAAATGTGGAGAACTGAGTATGATTTCCCAAGGCCAACGGTAGCTTCTATAATGTACTTCTGTGCTTTGGCCTGTTTGATCCCTACAGAGTCAGGACATGGTGGCTCCTGCAGGGAGGCAGTGGTGGCACGAGTGTAGCAAGGGGAACCCCCATGCCAGGCCGTGAGCACTAAGTGATGGTTGTACATAGTGAGGAGATAAGGGAGTAAAGGAGGCAGAAAATCCAAGTGAGATGATGTAGAACATTGGCATTGGCAGGAAGGACATGCACGTGTGCACACATGCATGCACGGACATTAACCACAGCTAGGAAGAGAATCCAGAGGCGGTGGAGCTGTGCCAGGGAGCTGCATGGTTTCTGAAGGGGGTGTAAGCCTGCAGGCAGAAAAGCTGTTTGGAGTCATGAGCAGAGTCCCCTCATCTCATCTCTCGGGAAAGGATCAAACAAGAAAAGTGGGCAAAAGACATGAATAGGCAATGTCCAAAGCAAATGTATCCAAGTAAGCTCAATCTCACTAGTAATCAGGGAAATGAGGATACAATAAAGTGAAGTGCTTTTCGCCCATCAGATTTGCAAACATTGGAAGACCATATCCAGTATGAAGAAAACCACTGGAAATGAACATTCCCATACACTGTGGCTGGTAGTACCTTTAAGAGGCCAAATAAGGAATATTTTAAAATGTAAAATATGCATTCTTAACCCAGCAGGTCCACTTCTGGGCATTTATCCTAGCTAAGTACTTGCACACAAGGAGGAAAGTCTAAGGCTGTTCTTAGAAGCAGTGTTTGTAATTGCAAAGACTGGAAACAACATAAAGGTTCAACAATAGGTAGATGGTTCAGTCAGCACTCACACGAGCATCCGCAGTAAACTATGCAGCGGCGCTTAGACAAACGACACGGCTCTCTGTCAACTCTCCAACGCCAGCCGAGACATTTTTCTAAATACTGCCGAGTATAAAAAGCAAGTTGTAGAACAGCGTACAAAGTATGCTTCCTTTTATGTAAAAAGAAAGCCCCTACAAATCTAACCTCTTGTTTCCAAAGACAGATATTTAGGTAAGTTTGTAAGAAAAGTTCTGGAGCAACATGCCGATGTAAGAATTATTTTAATTCTAAAAGGGAGGGTGGGATGAAGTGGGAATTAAATGAAACGTTCACGGTTCTTGTGTATAGTTTTAATTTCTTTGAAGAGCTATGCTCATCTCTTTTATAATTGATATATCAAACCAAACCCACTGCCATCGAGTTGATTCCAACTCATAGCAACCCTATAGGACAGAGTAGAACTGTCCCATAGGGTTTTCAAGGAGCGGCTGGTGGATTCGAACTGCCGACCTTTTGATTAGCAGCTCTTAACCACTGCCCCACCAGAGTTTCCACTGCACCACCAGGGCTCCCTAATGGATACATAGAAGAAACATATAAACATTCATAAATAATATGTTTATTGAAAAAAATTAAGCAGTGTAAAAACTGTCAAGGGAAAAGTAACACTTCTCCCTGCACACCCTCCCTTCCCACCCCCTCCTCTGCCCCTTCCCAGGCCAGTTCGACCCCCTTCTCCGGAGAGGACCGCTGGGTTTTCCTAATGACTGCAGCAGCTACTAATACTATGGCCTCCATTTGTGGAGCATTACTGTGTGTTTTATACACATAGTTGTTGGTGTTAGTTGCCATTGAGTTGACTCCAGCTCGTGGCGACCCCACGTGCCACAGAATGAAATGTTGCCTGGTCGTGCGCCATCCTCATGATCTTTGGTTTGCTTGAGTCCGTTGTTGGAGCTATTGTGTGGTGCTCATTGTCCAGCACTATCTCGGACAGTATTCTGTTGTGATCCATAAAGTTTACATTGACTCATTTTTGGAGTAATTGCCAGGCCTTTCTTCCTAGTCTGTCTTGGTCTGGAAGCTCCACTGAAGCCTGTCCACCATGGATGACCCTGTTAATATTTGAAATACCAGTGGCATAGCTTCCAGCATCATAGCAACATAAGCCACCACAGTGCGACAAACTGACGGGTGGTGGAAGATTATCTATTTCTGGAATCTGAGCTTGTTTCCATGTCTTGGGAAAGAGGAACTGGCCATCCCACTGGTAAATGACCATCAGGGACTTGAATCAAGCAGGAGCCGACTCCAAGGCCCTGCTCTCCAGGCCTGAAGGCCATGCCTCCTTTCTCTTCATTTTCCCATCCTACCAAGACCCTCACGCCTTTTTGTTTTTAACCTGAAATAAGTGAGCAGACTTCCAGAAGCTTCCTTACAGGGGGCCAGCTCTCCAAGCAAAGCCTCTGCATTTTAATTCTCTGTTGAAATGATCAATGACCTTTCCTGCATCCTCCCCACCGTTTTCATTATGGGGGCCGCAGAGTTACAGGATCATAGCCACATAATCCACCAAGTATTTGAATACAGCATAACTCATTTTAAAGCATTTCTTTAATCTTAAAACATAAGGTGGAGAAATCAAATGTATTCTACCAACCGTTTATCATAACCTTGGTATGTTTGTGCTTCGACGTTGTCAGTTTCCACAAACGATGGTCTCTTGCTTGTCTGAACAAACCAGTTGAAAATCCAGTTGCTGTCAAGTCGACTCTGACTCATGGCACCCCTATGTGTGTCAGAGTGGAACTGTGCTCCATAGGGCTTTGAAATGGCTGGTTTTTTGGCAGTAGATTGCCAGGCCTTTCTTCCAAGGTGCCTCTACATGGTCTCCAACCCCCTGGTTAGCAGCTGAGTCCATTAACTGTTTGCACCACCCAGAGATGCCTTGTCTTAACCAGGGGTGGGCAAACCCCCCCCCACCACCACCACCACCACCTATTTTTGTGAATTAAGTTTTGTTGGCATATAGCCACTCCTCACTTGTGTATCGTTTATGGCTGCCTTCACGCTGCAACAGCAGAGGTGAGTCGTTGCAACAGAGAACATGTGGCCCTAAAAGCCTTAACTTGCTATTCGGCCCTTCCCAGAAAGTTTGCTGACACTCTTCTGGAACATTCGCTACTGCAAATATAATCTCTGACCATCAGGAGCACGTGTGTCTTATGTATCAGTTTTTCCATACACTATGGGAAGTTAGCCTAGCAGCGGTTTGTGGCAGGGATTTCAAGCACCTGAGATTTTCATTTTTACTCTAAAGACCTTTTGGACAATGCTTACTCATTTAAAAAAGGAAGTGTAAATAAACAACAAGATTTAAAGAAAACACCCACAATCTCATCTTCCCCAGTGTCTGCATGCCTCTAAACCAGACTGTAGATATGAACACGTTGTATGTTTTTAAGTCCAATCACACCACACACACTGTGTTGAAATCATCCTCCGAGTGTCTGGATATGACTCCAAGTACGCACCGATGCTTTCTTTTCTTTAGTCACTTAGGTTATTTTTGACTTTTGTTGTTGCTGCACAGTTTAGATCTTGAAATGATAACGCTTTTCCTACATTAAAAATGCAAAGCTGTAAGAGCGCATAAAACCAGTTTTCTCATAGTGATAAGGGAATTTATTCTTTTGAAAGGACATGAAAGAAACACCACTATTTTGTTTAAAAAATCCTTTGCCTAACTCTCTGGGAGGCAACTCTGTGGCTTTTCTTATTCATCTGAGTGGCCGGGTGATCATATATTTTATTATTGTGTTTTAGGTCCTGCTCGGCTTTAGACAACCCAGTTGCCATTGCGTCGACTCTGACTCACGGAGACCCCATATGTGTCAGGGTGGAACTGTGCTCCACAGGGCTTTCAGTGGCTGATTTTTCAGAAGTACATTGCCAGGCCTTTCTTCTGAAGCACCTCTAAGTGGACTCGAACCTCCAACCTTTTGGTTAGCAGCAGAGCACATTAATTGTTTGCACCACCCAAGGACTCTTGTTCATCCCAAATGAATACAAATTAAAGCTGATGGGGTGCGATGGATTGCTTTTGTGTGGCCTTTCTCACCATGGTCTTGTAACTTCCACCTGAGTGATTGGGTGGGACTGTGCAAATAAGGTAATCATGGCCCACCGAGGGGATCGGTCAGTGTTGCCATCCCACAAGGCTTAAAAGAGTGCCAATTTCACAACAGAGAGAGGATCTCACCACCACCAAGGAAGAAGAGCCAAGAGTGGAGTGCATCCTTTGGACCCGGGAGCCCTGCGCTGAGAAGCTCCTGGAACCAGGAGACCGAGAAAGAGAGCTGTAACATTGAAGATAATGGGAAGCAGTGACGGAGAAACTGTGGCAGGAAAGACAGGTGGAAGATGGCACAGTGGGCTTCCCGGCCCACAGAGCGAGAAAACTGAGTGCTTTCCGGGCAGAAGGCTTGCTGGTGTAGTAAGGGGCCTCCAGGCGCTTGGTGGAGCTAGGTTTGCCAATCCACAGAGCTAGAGCTGAGTGCCTTCTGGTCGAGGGTTGCTGGCCGAATGGGGTGCCTCTGTGCACTTATCGGCAGAGCTAAAAGAGGTTTGTAACACTTGCCAGAGCAGGGCAGAGGCCTAGAGGCCAGAGAAAGGCATGCCTGCGGGCTCAGCTGAGAAAAGACTGTCCTGATGGAAGAACTGTATCCTGAGTGTTCCTGAACCTGAATTGTAACCTGTTACTTCCCTAATAAACCCCATATCTGTGAGTATTGTCTGTGAGTTCTGTGTGGCCATTGCAATGAATTTTCGAACCCTGCAGAGGAGAAGAGAGTGCCATGGAAGGGATGGTTGGTGTCAGAATTGGTAAAGATGGTGGAGAGAGGAGGCATCTCTG